GAACTGCCTAAATCAACCTCTCGTGCATAAATAGGTCCTCCATGTTCACCACATCTCCACATCACCCCTTTCTGACTAGAGATTTTTTTTTTTTTCCCCTACATTGACCGGCTTCTCCTATTTCAGGCTCTTGGAACTCCGGATTTTCTGGCCCCTTCGGTTTACTGTCTTTATAAACTGATGCGGAGATGTGCTTACTAAAGGCGGTTTCAAAGGATTGAGAAATTCCTGAATCATAATCCCGCTTGGGTCTTCTATTGTCTCATCTTTTCACTAGTCCTCCGTGTCATGACAGAACCTGAGGCTGATGCCATCAGGTTGGCCGCCCCAGCTGGTAATGGTGTCGCTGAACCCATAGTTCTCCATAGCACTGTTCCCCATGTTAGAACAGAGGCTACTTAATGCTCTGTTATTTGCCTTGTCCTGGGCACTCTAATAAATATAGATCTTTATCCTCGGCTTAGGATGTGGTACTTGCCTCCAAAGCCAAAATGAAACCTCCATGATTTTCTAGGATCCCGGGAGATACATAGAAAGACAACACTGACCTCGGCTTGGAAACGCCAGAATATACTCTACGATGCAATATATGAAACTTTGCAGCATCATCTCGATCTACATCCCTATCCGTTGGTATCGAAACACAATGTCACTAAATTTAGAAAAGAAATAATACTCCGTTTACTGCCTGGTCTCGCTATCCTATATACTTCCACTGCATGGAGTTGGTTGACTCTTTTTAGGTCATTTATTCGGATATTAACGATATATCCACTTCACGCTGGGAGTATTCCAGTTTTCCATACCAAAAGCTCAGCGTGGTCGCCCAACCAACTGGTTTTTGACCCTGTTTATCCCTTCGCTATCGAGAATGTAGCGTCTGTCTGTGCGCTAGGGGTGGCCGAATGGATACGGCTTTTGTTCCAGCAATGCTTGCCAAAGCCATTCTGAAACTGTGATATTTGTCTGGGGACCCCATCGATAGGACTTGAGGGGTGTGAACTTGACAGTCGTTCTTCTTTTCATGCTGAAGTATATCAAATGATTGCGACATACATACCTACGATTCGCTCCATCCATGCTCTATGCATGGTATTTACTTATTTTAGTTTCCAGTATAGCCAGAGGCTGCTTACTTGTCTGATTCGACATGTTCCGTATGCCTACCTTCTCTGCCTCTGCTTCGCCTTCATCTCTCCCCAGCCCCATTTTCTTCGATCCCCAGAATACAATGTTCCTATGTGTCCGTCACTCGTTCCTCTCTATTTTCGAACATTCGTTCATCCCCTCATTTTATTTACTCACTTATTTACCAAATTATTTCTTCCTAAATTCTTTGCATTCCAGGGAGTTTGAATTGGCGTTTATGCAAAAGTGATATCCGCAGTGTCGCAGAGCTGCGACATTGCAATGTCGAAGTCGACAACAGCCTTCAATGGTAGAGGGTTCCCCGAAGTTAGCAGTGCCCATCATACCATCGCTGGGGCTACAGCTACGATTAAAACTTCCTCAGTTACTCAAATCGCTTCCATATCTGGAAACTCTTCTTTTGTGCAAATGTCCCACAACTCTAGCTCTCCAGGGACTCCTGTATCAAAAATGCTCCCTTCTTCTCATCGAGTAAATGCTGGGATCGCTATAATTCCTTCGAAACCTAACCCCTCAAGAACGGATCGAGTTCCATCTTCCTCCTTACAAAACACAACACAGAAATGGACAAGTCCATATCTAACTGGAATAGATATATCAACGCACAGCGATATGGAGTCCCCGGTTGACAATCTGAGCCCTCGTCAAATGGGTGCGATCATTGGGGGATCTGTTGGCGTCACCGCAATAATTCTGGTCGCAATCGCAGTATTTTTTGTGCTCCAGCGGAGAAGACGAGGCCGATATGCCGTGAAGCAGACTACCAAATTGAGCTCCGAAAAGAAGGGCAAAATTGGCAAAGCACGTCAATTATCCTCTTATGGCCTTGCGCTATCAACTAATCAAACCAGTACTACGGATGTGTTCTCAGACAGTCAACTTTTATATCATGGAGCTCCATTGCCTACTAGATTTAAAAGGTCAAATATTCGCAGCTTCTCATATAAGATCGAGCACAGCAACACGTCTGCCAGTCCAACTTTTGCACATTGCGGTTCTATAGAACGCCACAACAATTGGCACCTTGGGAAATCGAGTTTACCTGGTCAATCAAGGCAACCCCGGCACGAGGTGTGGCGTCGTTCTTTTGCGCCCCCGAACTTCCGGGAATCGGTCACTCGGAACTCCAATTGTGTAACGTCAATGGATTTCCCCGACCCGCTAACTGGACTCGCCTCGAAATTTAGAGTCGGAAATTCTTCCCGAT